GGGTGATGGTTATAGGAATGGCGTTCGAGGATTCGGAGCCAGCGTCGTGCTCCCCATATGCCCAAGGCATTCCTGCCAGCAGCAGCTTGGTGTTTAAATGTCTTTCAAAACACAGAGAATTATTTAAAAATCCAAAACTGTTGCTGGACATTGAGGACAGCCCTGAGGAATAAAGTCAAATGATTTTTTTGCTTTTCCCTGGGGAGGAAAGAGCTGGAAATAATGCTGAGAGGGGGAGATGCATGCACACACTTCCTCAGCATCCCGCTGGGTGGTTCAGCAGGATGGGGATGATCTGATGGCGGCAGCCAAGACTTTGGGATCCTGAGCACATCCTCTGGCTTTGTGTTTGCTTTTTGTGGGTGCCCAAAGGCTGACGCGCTGCTCTTGGCAGAGCCTGGCCCGAGGGCACGGCAGGCACAGCAGTAATTAAAAAGCAAACTCATTAGCTGGGAATAAAGCCCCGGCCTGGAAAGGATGGGAGAGAGGGAGAAGCTGAGTCCATGGGCTCTGGGAAGCCCTGGCTGGGGAGTATCAACCACAGCCAGTCCCAGGAATATCTCATTCCCGGAGGGCACTGATTTGGGAGGGCACCAGGCACTGGAGAGTCACTAGAAGAGGTTGAAATGCTCTTTTCTTGGGATTTTGGGAATCTCCCAGGCTTGCTCTGTCACGGGCAGGTGGGATGTGTCCTGGAGTGGGAGCTGATTTCTTCCTCCAGCCTTGACCAGACTCTCATTCTGTGGGGTTTTGCAGCAGGTTTGGGGAGGTTGATGGGATTTCTTTCCCTTCTCTAAAGGGAATAATTGAAGAAAGAGGAGCTGGGAAGGAGCTGTTTGTGTTCAGTGGGACTCGCTCTGTGCCGGAGGGAGGGAGAGCTCGGGGAAAGCATTTCCTGCACTTTCCCTTTGAAGGTGATGTTGGATTTCAAATGTGAGAGGCAATTTTCTGTGCTGCTTAGATTTAAATTTAAAAAAAGTATAAGATCAAGAAAAAAAAAAAAAAAGGAAAGAGTAATTTTGGCAACAGCATTTGATATAAAAAACCTTCAGTTTGATGTCTAGTGGAAAGTGTCCCTGCCCATGGCAGGGGGCTGGGATGTGATGGTCTTTAAAGTCCCTTCCAACAAAACCCCTCTGTGGTTCTGGGATTCTGTGAATATTTTTTAAATTAACCTAAGTAAAGGTTATGCTGAAACAAGGTTTGAATTTAAATATTCATTTGGTGCATCTCATACAGAATTTTTTATTTAACAATTTAATGCGCTTTCAGGACTCAAACTTTTATTTCCATCCTTTAAAGACCAGCATGAAAATGCTGTATCAGAGAAGGGGAAGAAAATTCAATTATTACTGTTAGTTTTACTGAAAAGTGTATTCACAGGTTTAGTGTCACCTTCCCCTAATCCCTTCCAAAACACTTGGGACTTATGGAGAAGATATTTTCCATTTTGGAGTGTGGGAGAATCTACACATACAAACTCCCCTGATAATGTCTTATGTGAAATGTTTTTAATTTTTCCAGTGGAGCCAGGCTGGGAGAGCTGGGGGGCTCACCTGGAGAGGAGAAGGCTCCAGGGACACCCCAGAGCCCCTTGCAGGGCCTAAAGGGGCTCCAGGAGAGCTGGAGAGGGACTGGGGACAAGGGATGGAGGGACAGGACACAGGGAATGGCTTCCACTGGCAGAGGGCAGGGATGGATGGGATATTGGGAAGGAATTGTTCCCTGGCAGGGTGGGCAGACCCTGGCACAGGGTGCCCAGAGCAGCTGTGGCTGCCCCTGGATCCCTGGCAGTGTCCAAGGCCAGGTTGGACATTGGGGCTTGGAGCAGCCTGGGACAGATGGAAGGTGTCCCTGCCCATGGTAGGAGGTGGAATGGGATGACCTTTTAGGGTCCTTCCAAGCCAATCTATCCTGTGATTCCATGATTCAACACTTTCTGTAGGAAGTTCACTTTGCTTACAGGTCAGAGATTATCACTTCGTTTCCCTGTGTTTTGGGTTATTCCCCTCAGTGTGTTACAGACGAGCTGCGAGATGTCAAATTTCCAATCTCCATCAGCAACTGAGGGGGACTGAAGTCTTAGGTCTTAATTAACGTGCAGCATGCAAGCAGGCTTTGATGTACAGCCATGTTTTATTTATTTGGGAAGGGAAACACCAGCAGAATGGTTCTAACTTGGTATAAAAATCATTGTAACATGACCATGGAATTAAAATCAGGCTAACTTGATCACAGGGAAAAAATAATTCCCTGTATGCCAAAGGGATGAGGGGGGGAATTAAAAAATGGATGGTTTTCTGTTCCTACAGGGAAGTAATAAAAGCAGGGAGAGACCGTGAGATAGTTTGTTATTCATAATCAGGATCCTGTCTCCTAATTCATGGCTTTGGCATTTCTCATGCCAGCCCTGAATGTCGTCTTTGTGCCTTGGCTCACGTCACGACTCCGATTGTGCTCGTGTGTTCTTGCGGCAGGACCTAGAAAAGCAATTTTCGAGTGTCCCATCAAACACTCCTGGAGCACAGGCGGGTTTTTGTTGTGGGGCTGTGTTCATTGAGCAGGGAGGGCTGGCTGGGGCTCCGCAGGGCTCTGGGGGTCAGCGGCTCCCGGCAGGGCCAAGAGGGGATTTTTGGAGCCTGAAATAGTCAAGAGTTAGGGATGACGCAGCCTCTGCCGGAGCCCTGAATGGGAATTGTGCTCCTTGTCCTTGCAGCTGTGGGGGGATGACTCCCATTGGATGGGAAATGGGAGACTGGTCAAGTTTTCTTAGGACTCTTTTCCAGCAGGGAATGGCAACTTAAGGCTCCTTTTTGGGGAGAAAAGGAGGAGGAGTGGTTTTCGAGGCACAATCACAAGTGGCAGGATGTTCCTTCTGCCTGAAACTGTGTTGAGTTTTGCATGCTTGGGAGGTTTGGGGGTGTCCAGCCTGGAGAGGAGAAGGCTCTAGGGAGAGCTCAGAGCCCCTTCCAGTGCCTGAAGGGGCTCCAGGAGAGCTGAAGAGGGACTGGGGACAAGGCCTGGAGGGCCAGGACAAGGGGAATACGTGGGATCCCAGAATGGTTTGGCTTGGAGGGACCTTAAAGCTCATCCAGTGCCACTCCTGCCATGGGCAGGGACACCTTCCACTGTTCCGGGTTGCTCCAAACCCCAATGTCCAGCCTGTTCTTGGACACTGCCAGGGATCCAGGAGCAGCCACAGCTGCTCTGGGCACCCTGTGCCAGGGCCTCAGCACCCTCAGAGGGAACAATTCCTTCCCAATATCCCATCCATCCCTGCCCTCTGGCAGTGGGAAGCCATTCCCTGTGTCTTGTCCCTCCAGGGTTTTGTCCCCAGTCCCTCTCCAGCTCTCCTGGAGCCCTTTAGGCACTGCAAGAGGCGCTGAGGTCTCCCCAGAGACCTCAAACACAGTGTTAAGGTGAGTTTGAGTGCTTATGGGTCAGATGTGCTGCTCTCCCCAAAATCCCTGGCTGTGGCTTGGGAATCAGTCCTTGGCAAGGAATCCTTGCTGTGGTCCTGCTGGGGAGAGAGGGGAGCGGAGAAAAGGCCACAGGAAGGAAAGCAATAGGGAAGTGGAGAGAAGAGCTTGTGGGTTGAAAAATAACAACACTTCCAGTAATGTGACCTTTTGCTGAAAATGTTTCCATCAAAAAAAGAAAGTCTCCTCCTCCTCCCTGGATGAGCCGAATGCAGGGAGGGGTGAACATGCTCCTGGACCTCTGCTCCATGAGAGTATTTGGGAAAAACCCTATGGGAACTCTCTCCCTGGGATAGATAAAATTAATGTCCTGACAGAGGGTATGGAGAAGAAACCCTCACCTTTATTTTCCAGTTTTGTTGAAGCTCAGTGTTTCTGAGGGATTAGCCTTTGTTATCCTGTAACTGATGTTCATTCAAAGCTCTCAGCAGAGTTATTGAGGGATTGCCCCAGAGAGAGAGAGAGAGAGAGCAAATGTTACTAATACAGAATACCTGTGAAAGGCAGAACTGTCACTCAGGTGGAATTTAGAAGATTTTTAGTCATTCATGGGGTGGCAGTAATTTTTTTTTTTTTTTTTAGGAGAAACAAGCTGTGTTCAGGTATTGCAAAAGGGTTGTAGCTTGTCACTGCCAGAGGGCAGGGATAGATGGGATTTTGGGAAGGAATTGTTCCCTGGGAGGGTGGGCAGGCCCTGGCACAGAGTGCCCAGAGAAGCTGTGACTGCTCCTGGATCCCTGTAAGTGTCCATGGCCAGGCTGGATGGGGCTTGGAGCACTCTGGGATAATGGAAGGTGTTCCTGGCCATGGCAGGGGTAGAAACAAGCTGTGTTCAGGTATTGCAAAAGGGTTGTAGCTTGTCACTGCCAGAGGGCAGGGATAGATGGGATTTTGGGAAGGAATTGTTCCCTGGGAGGGTGGGCAGGCCCTGGCACAGAGTGCCCAGAGAAGCTGTGACTGCTCCTGGATCCCTGTAAGTGTCCATGGCCAGGCTGGATGGGGCTTGGAGCACTCTGGGATAATGGAAGGTGTTCCTGGCCATGGCAGGGGTGGCACTGGATGGGCTTTGAGGTCCCTCCCAAGCCATACCAGTTTGGGATTTATTATACAACACTTCGTGGTTTTTGCATGAGTTTCTTAAAGGGAGAGCCTCATGTTCCTGACCACGGCAGTCCGTCAGTTCATCCATCACAAGTCAGGATTAATACTTTCTGTGAAGTCTCAGATTACTCTTTATCCTCCTTATTTCCCATGGTGCTGCATGAGTGGAACAGAGCTCTGTGTGTGTTTGGAAGGCATGCATGTGTCCCACATGATGCTCTTTGCTTGTAGCAAAAACTGGGGTTTGTAGGAGGTGGTGCCTGGTGGAAAACTTGTTGATCCCTGAATTCCTGTAGTCCTTGCTTACCTCTAAGGGAATGGTGTGAACTTCATGGTGCTGCTCTTGATGCAGACCACGGTTGCTCCATCCTTTGCTGGCTGAGGACCACGCTGACCCTGCTCTGGTGTTCTCCCCCGCAGTTGACGTGAGCACAGCCCTGCCCTTGCAAGTGGCGCCGAGCTCGGTGCCCATGGACCTGCGGCTGGACCACCAGTTCTCCATGCCGGTGACGGAGCCCACGCTGCGGGAGCAGCAGCTGCAGCAGGAGCTGCTGGCCCTCAAGCAGAAGCAGCAGATCCAGAGGCAGATCCTGATCGCAGAGTTCCAGCGGCAGCACGAGCAGCTCTCTCGGCAGCATGAGGCGCAGCTGCACGAGCACATCAAGGTAAGGGTGGCCAGGGACGAGGGGGTAGTGGAATTGTTGAGGTTGGAAAAGCCTTCCAGGATCATCCATTCCAACCATCAACCCAGCAGCACCACCACAGTCCCCAAGTGCTTTATCCCACACAACTTCTGAGCAATTCCAGGTGTGGTGAGTCTACCACTGCCCTGGGGAACCTGTTCCAACACCTGGCCACTGTTTCAAGGAAGATATTTTCCCTCATCTCCAGTTTAAACTTTTCCTGGCACCACTCAAGGTTGTTTCCTCTTGTCCTGTCCCTTGCTCTCCACCTTCCTCTCAGGGTGCCAGAAGGTCCCTCCGAGCCTCCTTTTCTCCAGGCTGAGCCCGTTTCCCAGCTCCCTCAGCCTCTCCTGGGACTGCAGCCCTGTCTAGGTTTGGAAATACAGGTGTCTGCTAAGGAATGCAGGAGCCTCCCCTGAAATGGAAAAATGTAAACTCCCTCCCTCTTAACTGTTATAAATTTGAAATTAAGGGGGGGCTCTCAGGCAAAAACATGAGAGCAGGAATAGCAGTTCTTTATTAGGGAAGAAAATAAAAAGATAAAATAAACAATGCAGTAAAGTAAAACAACACTGACAGAGTCAGGACACAACCTGACACCCTGTTGGTCAGGGTGTTGGTAGCAGTCCAATAGGAATTGTGGCTGCACCAGCCACAATTGGAGTGTCCTGGAGTGTCAGGTGTGGTTCTGTTGGAGCAGGGATCCTGTAGAAGGGTGTAGTCTTCCTCTGAAGATACAGTGGAAGATGCAACTGTTCCTCTGGCAAATCCAGTGGAGAAGCTGTGCTGGTGTTCTAGAATCTCAGATTATATCCAGGTAGGAATGGTTGGCTCTTCCCTCTGGGCGGAGCATCTCCCACTGGAATGCTGCAGTTCTTATCATCCATGCAGTGACATTCAATAGCCTGTTATCAGCAGATGTCCTCCTGGAGGGAGGATTGGGTGTGGAAGAGATAAGGAAAACTGCCCACTTAACAGAAGACAGCTGCCATGCAGATGGCAAATAGAATACAATTTTGCTTGGCAATCCAGGACAAGCCCCTTCCCAGCTCCATTCCCTTCCCTGGACACGGAAAATGTCTCAATGGATGTGTCCCTAGCAGGAGGTTACCTGCTACTGTGGTCACACATTTTGGGAGTAGAGGCACAGGAACTTCTCGTTGGACATTTGCCATCAGCACGAGCTGCAGACAGCGTGTGGACCGTGGTGGGACTGCAGGAACAGGGAGTGCAGGGGCACTGCCTGCACGTGGGTCTGGACACATTCAGATTTCTCAGAGTTAGGCACCAGGCAGGTGCTGTGCCCTGTGTGGGACAGGGAGGAGCCAGGCAGGGTCAGTGGGCAGTCCAGTCTGGAAGATGGCTGTTGCAAGTGAAAACATGAGACATTATATAAATATTTCCCAGTGCTGGACTATTGCTATGGCAACGTAAGCTTTCCGAATTGGTAATAGGCTCCTTTTTTCAAAGGGGGATTAGTACTGCACATGGTAAATAGCCTTAATGTAATATTAAAAAGCAACCTTGATTCAACCTTATATAACTTTCATTTCAATACAAAATGGATGTCAGAGTGGGAAAGATGGGATTAAAAGTTAATGGGGTGTTATTTACAGACTTCTTAGTACAGTGAAGAGCTGGGCTTTGTGAGAAGTGTCCCTGTTTGAAGCTGGATTCATAGCAAACACTCCTGTCCCTTGCTGAGTCCTCTGTGCTGTGGCCAGGGCAGAGGTGAGGAGGTGCCTGGGTGTGAATATATTTATACATGGATGCACAGTGTGTGCATCTCTGGGTGTGTATGGAATGTTTACATATTCCCATGTTTCTGTGATTGCACATCTGCCCACGGCTGGCACAAGCACTTGGGGTGGGGGAAGGATGGGGAATTTCTGTGACAAATATTTCCATTATTCCCTTATAATTGTCCATGCCTGGAGTTATTTGTCTATGAAAAATCAGGCAGGCTCATTCCCATTTAATGGCCAAGCTCAAAGCACTGGTGATAGGAACATATTTGCTCTCATTTATGTCAAAGCTCTCACTTAATCTGCTCAAAATCTGTGTAAGGAGGAAGCTGAGCTCGAATTTTGAGACACCACAGTATATCCAGCCCATTAGGTAATGAAGTTCTTCATCTTGTGTGTAAGCCTGGCTAAATCAGAGCCTTAAAATAGGGATGGTATAATCCTGTACCAAAGGGTGGCCTGCAAGGTGATCTCTGAGAGTAGTAAGTGTGTCAGTGGGACCAGAGTTGCTTTAAAAATCAAACAGCACCTCATTGAAATAAGCTCTGTGATGCCTCACAAAGAAAATAACCCCCACACACTACCCCGGTGTGTGACTGTGGTGCATTTTCTCTGGGAAAACATCCTGCTTGTCTCTGTGTGCTGGAGTCAGCCCACATTTAGGTGACTCTTAGAACTGGCAACTGTGTTAAGTCCAGCGGCTGTGAGTGCAGGGAAGCAATTATTTTGCCCAGAAAATTAAAATACATAACTTTAAATTTGGACTCAGAGCTGCCCAGCTCATGAAGAAGGCAGGGCAGGGATGTTAAAGCAAATAAAACCCATTCATCTTCTGCAAGTGAAGCACTGGAGCTGTGCAGTTTGGTATAGATACAGTCCTGAGTGAAGATGCAGAACTCTTTTTGGAGAAATTAGTTTGTTTGGTTTTTTTTGGGTTTTTTTTTTAATCCCATGTGCACACAGGCATGAACACCCCATGGCAGGGATTGGGAATGGGATGAGCTTTGAGGTCCCTCCCAACCCAAACCATTCTGTGATTCTGTGATAATGTTAAACCCAGAATTGCTTTGGAAACTGCTTCAGTGAAGGGGGAGGAATTACTGCGTTTTACTCTGTTCTGTGTACGTGTTACTGTCTAGTATTGATTACTTTGGCTTTTTCCCCTATAGCCTGGCATCCACCATTTTAGTCCATGAGTGCAAAGCATTTATTTCATAAAATCCCTGAAAGCTTTGGGATGGCAGGGACCCTAAGGATCATTTAATTGCAATCCCCTGCCATGGCAGGGACACCTTCCACTGTCCCAGGCTGCTCCAAGCCCCAGTGTCCAACCTGGCCTTGGACACTGCCAGGGATCCAGGGGCAGCCACAGCTGCTCTGGGCACCCTGTGGCAGGGCCTCCCCACCCTCCCAGAGAAGAATACCTTCCCAATATCCCATCCATCCCTGCTCTGTGGTAGTGGGAAGCCATTCCCTGTGTCCTGTCCCTCCATCCCTTGTCCCCAGTCCCTCTCCATGTCTCCTGGAGCCCTTTAGGCCCTGCAAGGGGCTCTGAGGTGTCCCTGGAGCCTTCTCCTCTCCAGGTGAGCCCCCCCAGCTCTCACAGCTGATGAAGCTTTCAAACAGCTCCTTTGTTTCCAGTGTTGACTCCTTTGCTAGTACAGGAGAAGTCATACTTTGGGGTTATTTCTTTTATTGCCGTGGTGTTGGTGGGAATAGAGGAACTGGTTTGACTTGACAGGAACTAAGTAAGGGTGAGCCCCCCTCAATCCCATCCCCCAGACAAAGCAGGAGTCTGAGGAACACTTCAGTGAGTGAAGTTTGGCCTGGAAAATCCTGGCATGATTGCCTGTTTTTCTATCCCTGTAGATAACATTTTCCTACTGAGAGCTGAAGTTTTGGCTTTTTCCAGAGCTTGGAATTGCTTCCATCCGTTCAGTTTTAATCATCTGACCTAGTGCAGGGGGAGAAGGTAATGACTGCCTGAACATGTGATCCTTTCCCCGGCGTGTCCCAGTCCTTGCTTTTATAGACATTATGTTTTGGCCTTCACATAAAAGTGCCAGATTCCCCAAGATGGTGCAAGTTGGAGAGAGCCAGGCAATTAGTGAAACAATATTTGTGGAAGGGCTCTATAATGGACACAGAGCTCAGCACAGGGGAGGAGTGGGAGGGTAAGGAGAAAACACAGGCATGGAGAGAGAGATGGGAGAAGGGGGAATGGCTTTGAATTGAAAGAGAGTAAGTTTAGATTGGGTATTAGGAAGAAATTAGTGATGAGGCACGGGGCTTGGAGCAAACTGCTCTAGTGAGAGATGTCTCTGCTCACAGCAGGGAGTTGGAATGGGCTGAGCTTTAAGGTCCCTCCCAACCCAAAGCATTCTGGGCGATTCTGTGAAAACCCTGACATGGTTGGGAAAATAAGCCAAGCCTTTTGAAGGCTTCACTGTACAGAGCAGGGCAGGCTGTTTCTTTCACAGCTGCAGAGCTCTGCAGATTGCCCAGGCCTGGCTCCAGAAAGCACCAAGGGAGAGGCTGGAGGCACTGGCAGCTGCTCCTCTCTCCAGTAGCCACTCACCTTCAGTCAGGTGGGTTTTCCACTCCTCCGTGCATTCGCCAGATGTGGGACAACATTTATGGCCTTCAAATCTGCCTTCCTGAACAAAACCAAGGATGGAATAAGGGGCCTGGCTCTTGGGTGAGATGGTGGAAAGCCTCTCCACAGGTCCCGCTGCAAGCTTTGCCTGACCTTTGGTTGTGGGGGAACAGGCAGGGAATTTTTTCCTTTGTGAGTCACTCATTCCCAGCTAAGATCAGCTGGAAGTTACCAAAAGCTTTTCCGTTTGCCCTTCTGGTCAAGGGCTGGATGGAAGAGGCACAGGATGGGCGCTTTGGCAGAGCCAGATGCACCTCGGGTGCTGTGAGCTCAGCAGGGAGGGAAGGACGTCGTGGGGAATGTGGTTCATCTGCTCTGTCTGAGCTTGGAGCAGGGCTCTTCCCAGCTCTGGCTGTTTTACAGCCACAGCCGGAAACTTCTCGGGGATGCTGACGCACGTCAGTGCCAGGGTAACAGCACACAGAGGCAGCTGAACCTCCCAGCTCCTCGTGGGCCTGAAATCCTCACCTGCAGGTGTGCAATCCCATTCCCAGTTTTCCCACTGTCTGAGAAAGGACTGTGTGCATCCATAGCACAGGGAGTGCTGGGCTGAGAGTCCAGCGTAGACAGGATGGGCAGGG